AATAGCAATGGCCTCCTAATGGCGATGGCCTCCAACCTAATAGCAATGGCCTCTATCTTAATGGCAATGGCCTCTAACCTAATTGCGGTGGCCACCAACCTATATAGCTATATCGTCCTGTTAAGAGGTTCGTCTTCATGGGTGTGCAGCATTGTCAACATTTAATGCTCTCCAAGGAATTCCAGTGAATAACGCTTCACATACCAGTGCTCTCTGCCATGACCATCTTGAATCAACCAAAGCGCTTATTGTTTTGGCACATTCCTTGTTGAGCATCCCAAACAAAACTGCCCGATGCACTATCATCCCAGACGGGTTAGATGAAGTTAGATGTGGTGCCTCCGTCGCTCGTCAGCAGGTCGCCTCCGCCACTGGCCGTCGATCACACACACACACACGGGCTGCGCCCGCCAAGTGGCACAGTGTCTCCAAAGCGCACCGCCCGCGGCGCCTGGGCGGGTCGGCTGCCGATGGCTGAAGCCATCTCACACCCAAACACTCTATGGAACTGGAATACATGTCTAGATTGACCCCTAAAACCACTTAAAATATTTCATATATGCATATATAATCATAAATATGTCATCCACCGAGCGTTTGGGACATGGCGTTGCGTTTGAGGGTCCAACATCTGGTCGATCGGAGCGAGCGTGTTTTTCCGAGAAGAAAAGCAGCTCAAAGCCGGTCGAGTGTCACACGAGGTTCCCTATGTTATTAGTAGCTTCTTGTTCCTAGTAGTAAGAATGCTACTAGTATAGTAATGCCCTTTGTTACTAGTACCGATGCCCTTGCTCCCAATAGCTTCTTGTTCCTAGCAGTAATGCCAGGAGCTACTAGTAGTGTCCGATCGCTCCGTTCGTAGCCGTGCCCTTTGTTACTAGTTTGTTCACATTTAGCTCCCTCTCCGGTCTCGCCTTCTCGCTTCCCACTTTCTCGGGTTTGGCCGCTGGCATAACGAAACTGAAGCAATAGAGTTTGGTTGTGACATTATGGGCTCATATGGGTTCCAGGTGTTTGCTTCAGAGTGCGTGCGCACCGCGAACATATGCAAAACTAAAACAAGAAGAAACGGTCGTTGATGGTCGGCGCTGCCCCTGTGCTGTGCCAAAATGAAGAATTCACCGCAACCTACACGAACCGAGTCGTCAAAGGCGACTCGCTGTCGGCTTGGCCGTTTAACGGCTGCAGAGCGTGGCGGCCAAGCATCCGTGAGGGTCCAAGAGTACGCAAAGGGCATGTGACTAAAAGGATGTTGAGAAAAAAAGAACATGGAACGTAGTGTTCCTCTTTAAACAAGGGGTGTTGCACTTATTTGTTAGTATCAGTCAGTGAGCGTGAAGACTTGGACTGTCAAGCTTTAGCACCTAAAGAAAAGGATTCAAAAACCTGCATCACAGGTGTTTTTCTTTGTGGGGCCCCTGAGGAAAGTAAGGCATGCATCGTATCAAAATCCCTGGGAAGACACGCTCCCAAACTTGCTCATCATCCTTCCCTTTGAGACTCACCTGGGCACCAGTTTCATGCGAACGTGCTCTTTTGAAGGTTCAGGGTTCCCGCACGCGCAGGAGACAACTGAACAACGCAGAAGGCGGCGCAGAAGGTCACTGCCAACATTGATGGTGTTGGAATGTGTTGGAGCCTTGACGTTAGTCAAGGAAACATCAGTCACCAGTCCGCACCACACCTCTGGGGAGGCGTGGAGGGTGCACCACACGTGACCGCAGGACCGCAGGACAGGACCGAAGTCAGGACCTGGTGTCCTCAACCGCCACATCGGCAACGGCAACGGCAAAGGCAAAGGTCTTATGCCCTGGTTTCGAGACCCACATGGAACCTCAAAACCACGGTCGGGAGGAAAAGAGTGGTCTTCCAGTCTGGTCCATGCCATCAGGTTCCAGGTCTCTGGCGGCGGGTGACGTATTTCCAAGCTTTCTCTGCGATCGATACACCGAAGGATTCATTCATTCCATGACATACTACACGACACAGATCTACACAAATCACTTGGAGCTCCCACCGTCCAAGACTATGATCATGGTCGTCGCCAGATCCACTCCCCAGAACGCGATGGCCTCCAGCCTAATAGCCATGGTCACAAACACCTCAAACGGCCTAAAAGAACGGCCGCTCCGGCAGCTCTCTGCGGAACTACGGTGCTGGAAAGACCACGCCTCCGGACCCGCCATCGGATGCGGAGCCGGATGAAGGGGCAGCGTGTGGAGTTCGAATGTGCGTGAAGACGAGGGTCTGAAGTCTCCCGTGAACAGAGGGTCACCTGTTCTGAAGAATCCAGCGAGTTTCATCACCCCGAGCTCTCTTTCTTCCGCAGCCTACGGAGGTTTTGCTGGACAAAAAAGAGGCCAACGCCCGGTTCCCATGAACTTCACCAACTTGGTATGGAGGGTGAGAAACCCAAATTGTACCTCAAACAGCTCTGAAGCATTCTGGGAATCGATTTTGGGATCCGACCTCAAAAAGGTGTTTTGGCAATCTTTCAAGCGCAAGCTCGTGAAAGCGCGGTCAGGTCTGAAAAGCCTGATGTCCCACTTGCGTATCAACTCACGCTGAGTTGGTTGTTGCAGACCAGCCTTTTGCAAAGGTTCCTTACGGTTCTTTCAAGCTAGCCATGTTGGAGGGGTTCTTCATAGCTGTCAGTGAGCCAAGAGCCATAGCAAAGCAAATCAACTCAATCAACGACCATCACATGACAGGAACAACGGCTCTTTTTCTGGTTGTTTCGGAGCGGTGCCCCCGCCACTCACCCGCATCGTCAGGCTTCTTTTGGGTGGATAGAGAACAGATGAGAACAGGGGCCAGCGATAGGTTGCAGTTCCCGGAAACGAATAATCCCCAACGAAGTCATGGTTCAAATGGCCAGAAAAAGGTCATGCCCCAAATGTCCTTCATGTTTTTGTTCAGTTCCCAAAACGAACAAGTCCTTCAAATGTCCTGCCATAGAATTCCTCCCCCACCGTTGCAAGTCGATGTGTGCGGTCCGATGTCACATCGACGTCGTTGGGATTTTTTGAGTCCTCGAGGGGAGAATGGGGATGGGTCCTATCAGTTGCACCCAGTGATATGGATCATGCAGTGACTTTATATAATTACAAAGAGCTGCCCCAAGTCCGCTGTGGGTCATGGCACTTGGATACTTTGGTTGCTACATCTGGCAATACGAGAGGTCAAGCGACTGTCCGAACGCGTGAGAGGTCAACCTACCAGGGTGGAACACCAACTGCTCGTCATCGGGATGCCACACCGAACTCCAAGATCTCTTGCTTCCAGTCCTGAGAACTAGGAGACCCATCAGTCGGAGATCCATCCCAACCCCATGCAGCCTGGTCCGCACTCTGACGTTCTGGTCCGAACTATGGCGTTCTCCGGCTCAATATTAACCTTCCCTGGTTTTGCGTACTGTTTGGTATTGAACGATCCCACGACCACTTCAATTTAAGTGGCCTTTATAATCAGCTCGTGTATTCAAGCCACAGGACGCGTGTGTGTGTGTGTGTGTGCGTGGGGAACTCAAGCGTAGAATTGGTGGCAGCAAACACGATTTTTGTTTCCGCGATCTTCAGCGCCGATTATGGCAGTGTTTTCAGCCCAGGACATTGAGGGATGCTCAGTTCGCACAGGGCCCCAGGGCAACGGTGTGTAAAACCAGTAACTGAACGTGCTGATAAACAAGGGATGCCAAGTCAGATATTCAGCTGCTTCTGCTCAATTTCGACCACGCATCTGAAAAACAATCCCCAGTGCATGTTTTCATGCGGACTCGCCCTGGGAGACTGACCGTCTCTCAGTTCAACAGGCCAGCGGCCAGCGTTGCCGAGGCCTGATTTGTCCCAGGTCTTACAGCATCCAAACTGCGAGCAGACCCCCTCTGGTCAACCTGGGTCAAAACCGGGAACAGTTCTTTTGCGATATCGAATTGTCGAGCAAATGCTTGGGTTGAAAAAGCATGTCTGAAGAGAATAGGGCAAAATCATGCAATCTTCGACATCAGAATCTGTGGAAGTCTGAACCTGTCTCTCACGAATCAGTCTATAAACCACAATGCTGATCATCTAGCTGTCAAAAAGAATTGGTGTGCATTGAAAAGCGAGACCTTCCAAAGATCCCTGATGGAGCCAAAATCCACGAAAAAAATTGAGGGCTTTTGGTTGAGAACTCAAAACAGACTGAACACACCCATCAAAGTTGAGCCTTAACCAGTGAGGGAAGAAAAGACTCATATAACTATATAATATATATACATATTATACTAGTCAAAAATAAGTAGTATAGCTTCTTGTTACTAGTAGTAATGCCAGGAGCTACGTTCGTAGCGTCCGATCGCTCCGTTCGTAGCGATGCCCTTTGTGACGTTCGTAGCTACTAGTATTGGCTATTTGCTACTAGTTTCATCGAGTGTCCCTAAAAATCTAGGAACCACATGATTCGAGCGCTTCTTCCTCGGAAGCCTCCCCCGCCGCCTTATCGGGGGGGAGCTTGCTTGAAGAAGCGGCTGAGCTTCGCTATCCTGCGTCCCGTCGGTAGTAGCTACTTGCAGGTAGTAGCTACCTAGCTACTACTAGCTAGCTCTCCGGCCTACCCCCACTTAAAATAGATAGATAGAAAGACAGATAGATAGATAGATAGATAGATAGAGATAGATAGATAGATAGAAAGACAGATAGATAGATAGATAGAGATAGATAGATAAAGAAAGAAAGATAGATAGATAGAAAGACAGATAGATAGATAGATAGAGATAGATAGATAGATAAAGATAGATAGATAGATAGATAGATAGATAGAGATAGATAGACAGATAGATAGATAGATAGAGATAGATAGATAGATAGATAGAGATAGAGAGATAGATAGATAGGTAGATAGATAGATAGATAGAGATAGATAGATAGATAGAGATAGATAGAGATAGATAGAGATAGATAGAGATAGA